CACAGAAAAAAATACTTAAACAATGCCTGTCTTTCCCATTTGATGAAAACTGTATCCCACAAATCCAAGAAGCTCATCAGACCCCAACTAGAAGAAACATGCAGAAAATTACACAAAGGCACGTCAAAATCAAATTGCTGAAAACAGTGATAAAGAGAAAAATTTTAAACATATGACCATACCGTATGACCCAGCAATCCTCCTGTATATTTACCCTAGAGAAATTAAAGCTTACATTCACACAAAAACTGTACACAAATATTTGTATCAGCTCTATTCATAATAGCTAAAAACTGGAGACAATTCAAATGTTCTTTGACAGGTAAATGGATAAACTGGTACGTCCATTTTATTGGAATACTACTTAGTAAAGCAGAATTAACCACTGTGCAACAACATGGATGATTCTCAAAAGGATTACGCTAAGCGAAAGAAGCCATTGAAAGAAACTTGTGATTCTATTTATATGAGTTTCTAGAAAATGCAAAACTGTAGTGTTAGAAAGCTGGTTGGTTGTTTTCAGGCGCCAAGGGGCTGAGAAAGGGGATTAACTGCAAAGTGACGCTAAGGAACTTTTTGAGGTGCTCAAAATTTTTTCTATCCTGATTGTGGCAATAACTCCAAGATTGTGCACATTTTTCAAAACTCATCAAACTGAACACTAAAAATAAGTATTTTATCGTGTTAATTATATTTCAATAAAGCTATTATTAAAAATAAAAAAGGGAATGTCTTAAAATTTTTTTATCAGTTGACTGAGGTATGTGCATGATGATTCTAGGAGAAAAGCGAATTGCATGGTAGCATATATAATATGAATACATTAAATAAAGCAACACTGACAGGAACTTCTCTATACCCCTTTGTATGTATATTGATGTTTACAAGCTCATGTGGAAGTCTTTGGCAGGAAGGCTATACACCAGGCTGGTAACATTGTTTACATCATGAGGATGGAAATTGAGGAAAAAGTATTATTAAATTTTTCTTTATACATCTTTGGACGGTTTCCCATGTTGTAATAAAAAATAATTACAATTATTTTTGTAATTGAAAATAAAGGGATATAAAAATAATAAATAGGGAGTTGTGTATATAAGAATAACCCTGGTGGAGGGAGAGGTCCACTGTGTCAGTGCAGGGAGGTCAAAGGGAATGAGATGAGGTCATTAGACTTGACACAAAGGAGATCTTTGGTGGCCTCTGAGAGCATCTAAAATAGTGGGGTGGAGGCTGGAAGTCAATGTGAGGCATAAAAGGTATAGGTTAGAAAGAAAGGCTTTGAGTGTGGACCACTTGTTTGGGAAGTTTGGTCATGAAAGAAAGATAAAAAACAGGGAGTCACAGCATCAGTTGGAGGTTTTTGTGAGGAGAGGAGAGGGATACTTGCAACTTCTTGAAGGCCAAGAAGAACCAGTGAAGAGGAACTGAGCAAACGTGCTGAGGAATGTGGGTATAAAATGGTGGTGAGATGGTCCTCGAGATAGGATGGAACAGTTGCAGAGACAGAAGTAGAGAGATTCTCATTTCTCTAGAATTCAGTTTGCTTTATTCACAGCTGTCATAAACCTAGGATCACACCTTTCCAAAAAAACCTGTCAATAAAGAACCCAACTGCCTAGCAGACAGCTGGATCCTGTGTCCTGGCTCCTGGTCAGGCACATGAGCTCTAGGACCTGGTGCAGGTCACTGAGGCTCTCTCTAAGCTGAGTTTTCTTAGTACAGTAGTAAAGTCTGATTAATGATGGTACCTACCTCATAGCTTTGCTGTGAGACAATTCATACAAAAAGCTTATTTTGTGATCCTCCTGTTTAGGTATTGATCTGGGGGCAGTATCTCTGTGTGGTGAGGCTGGGCATGTGACCAATGATGTCACAATGCCCTACTAGATTCCACCTTCTCCACTAGAGAGTTGCAGATCCTTTTGAGCCAAAGACTGGAACTGACATGTGGTGTTTCCACCAACGGAAGGTTTCACAAGCACACTCCTTTGCCAAGATTTTGGTGAATAATCTGTCACTGTGCAATTGTGTCTTAGAATTTTTATTTTTGTCATGATCGTGCTTGGCTGGATACTTTTTGTCGGACTTGCATGTTACATGGGCACATTTCCAGAGTTCATGGTAAGTAATGACCCCACTGCCTATAAATCCCTGGTACTCAGTCCTGGCTCTGGCTCACCCTACCAGCTGGGATTTTTGGCCAAATGGAAAAGGTAGTTGGGGTCTTATCACCAATTAGAAGTCAGGATGTGATGGGAACAGTTAGTCTCCCAGGCTACTTTCCACACACTGGGGCATCCTTCTTGTACATACTTTTTTTTCCTGAATATATAACTTGTTTCAAGGCATTATGGAATTTATAAAGGGTCTGCTGAAGACAGCACCTGACTTCTGTTTTCTGTCCCACCCTAATAGAGGAATTTCAGGCCATGTGGAATAGTGGTTCCTGGTAGGAAAGGGGAATATGTGGATTGGTGGGACCTTTTAGTAGCCCTTCAAGTCACCACACAGTCAGCTACCTGAGCCAATGAGTAGAGCCACTCCTGCCTTTAAGGTTTTTTTTCTGACTCAGACTCCGACTCTGAAGTGGAAAGAGAGGTGGTCTGTTAAGGACAGCAACGCACAACTGAGGAGCCAGGCTTTGGATGAAGATCTGCAACTGTGAGTGGGTGCTCAGGTCTGTTAGGATTGATTCTTCCATTTCCAGAGAATTTATTAGCACCTGAAATCTCAGTGGAGAGCTCATGTTCTTCTGGAAACTACAATAAATTGTGGAAGGTGAAATTATTTGCAGTATATGGTGGGGAAAGAGAATTTGGGGAACACTACAGAGGACAACAGGCCAAGGTTCAAAGATTTGTTAATAATCGTGCTTCACAGGTATTCTTTTCAAAAACTATTCCCATCTCTTAATTTATTTGTCCTCACAAACCCTATAATAAATGGGACTGGCAGTTTTAGCACCTTGTCTTAGTTATCTGGTGCAGCTATAACAGAAATACCACAAGTGGATAGCTTTAACAAAGAGAAATTTATTCTCTCAAAATCTAGGAGGCTAGAAGTCCGAATTCAGGGTGTCACCTCCAGGGGAAGGCTTTCTCTCTCTGTTGGCTCTTGGAGAAGGTCCTTGTCATCAATCTTCCCCTGGTCAAGGAGCTTCTCAGCACAGGGACCCTGGGTCCAAAGGACGTGCTATGCCTGTCTGGTGCTTCTTTCTTGGTGGTATGAGGTTCCTCCCCCGCCCCCGCCCCCGTCTCTCTGCTTGCTTTTCTCTTTTATATCTCAAGAGATTGATTTAAGCCACAACCTAATCTTGTAGATTGAGTCCTGCATCATCAACATAACTGCCTCTAATCCTGCCTCATTAACATCATAGAGTTAGGATTTACAACACATAGGAAGATCACATCAGATGACAAAATGGTGGACAGGCACACAGTACTGGGAATCATGACCTAGCCAAGTAGACATATTTTGGGGGGACACAATTCAATCTATGACACACCTCTTTTGGCAGATTCCAGACCTGGAGTTAACATGAACTTGTGTTCAAGTCCTAACTTCGCAACTTAATAGCTGTGTAACCTTGGGCAAGTTTAATCTCTGAACCTCAGTTTCTTCACCTGTAAAATGGGAGATATCCTTTGCTATTTTTGTATTTGGGAATTCATGTAAAGCATTTAATGCAAAGTTTGACAATTAGCAGTTAGTGAATGCTAACTTAGCTAAACAAAATAATGAACCAGTAGACAAAGATTTACTGGTGACAGTGACCTCAACTATTTACCCAAGGTGACACAAACCAGCTTGGTGGTGAAGCTAGGATGCAAATGTAGATCTCTGGGCTTAAAATCTCACTCTCACTTCATGAAACCACCCTACCAAAAGGAAACGTTAATGGCAGCATCCCTTTTACTAAACCATCTCCTGGGTTTCTTGCATTACTCTTCATTTCATTCAGGCTTGCTTGCTCACAGCTGTTCTCAGTGTCAGAGAAACTTAGCTCTGAGAGTCTTAATAACATACTGATTACAGAAGCAGAAGATTGTCTGGGAAGCTACTCCAGAAAGCAGGGGTGCCAAGCCCCAGTGCCAGGTATGCTCAGAGCACGGCTTGATGGTTGGTCTTTTTTTCTCCGTCTGCCCAGAATTTCTGTGAGAGCACTGTCCCAAAGCAGTCAGACCTCTGTGAGGGTGGGGATGTGGGTGGAGGCACTGTGCTCTTGTTGAGCTAAGTTACTGCTACTTTGTGTGATCTTGGCCAAACTGCTTAGCTCTTCTGTGCCTCAGTTTCTCCAGCTGTGAAATGAACATAGTAAACAGCCCATCTTCCTTCTCCTTCTCAAGGAAGTTGTGAGGAGGCTTACCCTGCATGATAAGGTTTAACTGTGCCATTTCACAAAATGCAAGATTTTTCTTCTTTGAACGGCCTAACAATAGCACATAAAGTAATTGCTCGTAGCTGGTTAATCCTCCCAGTTAATCCAGTTCTTTTTTTCTTTTTTCTTTTTTTTGCATAGCAGTATTTTATGCATCTGGTGGCATGAAGACAGTAATCAAACATTTTGGCAGGTGATGAGTTAATAAAAGTGTGATGCAAGCTAGTTCCTAACCACATAGAGTCACCAGAGAACAGGTCCCTTCTGATAAGGGCTCTTTAGCCCCAGCCCACCTGTCATTCCTGGCCAGCCATCTCATAGCTGCTCAAAACTGGGTCCCCAAGGTCATGGACTGATGTCACAATTGGTGTCTGAGTGCTGTCTCCCAAAATGGCCATGGGGAGCCATTTCAGTTCAGATAAGACCACGAAGCTGCTCAGCCAGGAGCTGTCATGCTGGGCCATCCACCATCTGGTCTCTAATAAAGACAGCCCAGTTCCCAGGACTCAGGGAGTAGAATACCATACCTTCTAGAACCACCCATTTGCCCCTGCATATACCACCAGCTGAGCAAGAAGCCCCACAATGATTGTCGTCTTATGGATGCTTCTCATTGCAGGAACGATGTGGAAGGGATATAAGTATCCCCCGGGAGGGGTAAGTGTACTTCCCACTTCGTTCTCCGTTCCTATTTTGAAATGTATTCCCCCAGATAAACAAATGAACTAAGCATGAAAATTCAATTCCAGTAACTTGAGAACAAATACTCTTCATTTAAAAAAAAAAAAAAAGTTATTGCAGCTTACCTACTTCTGTTAATCACAATCTACTTAGTTGGGAGAGTTCCTGCTTTCTTTCATATGATCTTTTATAGATATTTTCCCAAGTGCCTTTACTCTTCCTTAACTTCTCAGTTTCTTTCGAATAAACTGGAGAAAGGATATTTCAGGCCCAGAGTCAGAGCCATCTAGCATGGGCCATCTAGTCTCTGTCGTGCTAATAGGAGATTTTGTGTGCTAAACTTCAATACCATTTCCTGACTCAAACACCAAGAACCCAACTTAACTCTCCCTCGCTGAGTAAACACTGGTCTCTAAAAGGGTTCTGGTGGCAGAGAACTCTTTCCTCTCTCCTCCTGTTAGACTTTGGAATGTTTGTCTTTCCCCTGCCTCTTGTCAGCTCCCATAGTACTAAGCCCCTCTGACAGTTGGGATTGGAGGCAGTAGATGAGACAGCCACCCCCACCTTCCCTTGGCAAGGACGACAATTGCTTCAACCCCATATCTAAGCAACCACTAGGCAAGACCCACCTGATACACTTTTTTTCCCCTAGAACCCGGTGGAAATATGCAAAGATGATCCTGGTGAAGTAATGCAGCTCTGAAGCTAACCTGACCAGCTGTACAGTTCCTGTTGTTGGTTTCGCATAAAGCAATTGCACATTATTTTGTCATATTTTATGTAAAAAGTTACCGCACTAAGACAGATGAAGACATCAGTATTCTGTTAGCTCGTAGCAGGGAATTGAAGGGTGGGAGGTAGTCAGGATGGAGTGGAGGTGATTGGGTCCACTGTTTTCATAGTCTCTAAGATGGGCATTATAACTAAGATACCTAGTTCATAACTGTCCTCTAGTCTGTGTCCTTAAGGATTGAAATTATGTAGCATTATTTAGACCTATTTACCAAGTAATGCCTTTCTCTTGGGTCTAGGATCCAGGGTCCAGAGGTAAAATAAATGTTACAGAAAGGTGAGATTACAGCAACTCTAAGCCTGTTCTTTGGTGGTACTTCTCTGTGGCCTCCTCACTGCTATTTCTAAGAACCCAAAGTTTATACCTCATTTTAATATTGGATGCTAGGTCCTAAAGCATACATTATTTTAATCCTTACAGTAACCTTCTGAGCTGGGTATTAGCCTCATTTTACCAGTGGAAAAAAATGAAGTTGAGAGGCTTAAGGATCTTGCCAACCCATACAGCTCTGGGTTGCTGAGTCAAGATTAAAATCCAGGACTTCTCCTTTGCATGCTTTTACATGCCAAGGAAGAGCCAAACAAGAGAGTCTGTGAGATCTCCAAGATCTGCTGTCTCTTGGCTCAGTGTCTTCCTCACCTGAATAGCCAAGAAGTTGCCTGATGATTCTCTTAGCAATGACTGTTGCTAATGCAGGCAGCATGTGTAGAAACAAAAGCTAACTGCTCAGCCCTCAACGATTCAGTTTTTATTGAGTTTATGAGACCTAGGAGGAACCTAAGTATAAGACTTGTGCAACTGATGTGGGGTCTGTACCCTAATAAGCAGAAGTAGCACTCAAAGGTGGTTTGGAGCTTTCAAACCCTAAAAAAGAACAAAACAAACCCTAACTATAAATACTTTTAAAATATATAAAACTTCCCATTCTTTAGCTGCTTGGGGAGGACCAATAGCTCCATTGTTCAAGAGAAGTACACTCCTACCAGCAAAGTAGATCTTTTGGTTACACAGAAATAGTTGGTAGCTATTTGGTAGATGTTAGCTGAACTATTCCTAAAAGGCTCTTTGCACGGAATGGATAACCCTTTTTTTATGGAGAGAAAAGTGAATTTTGAAATCCACAAGCAAAACTAATTTCTAAATCTAGGATACTAGCATGTCTTATGATACTTCTTACATAACCTAGACCCAGCACATTCCAGTGAGGTAAGTACCTACATTCTTTGCATGGCTGTGCCCACTTGCCTCATATATATCTCTAATGACTCATCTTCTCAGCCATCTCAGGCTCTTATTACAGGGGATCAGAACCTGCTCAATTTTTTGACCAGAGTAACCGTATACACAGCTCTGGTTCCTCCCTCCAGTTCCCTGAGTATATCTCCAGAATTTGGGCCACAAAGTTAAGTCTGTTGCTCTGTCCACCTAATAGTTCTCCTGTGTGTCTGATAACATTTCTCTAAGCTGGTGCGGGAAGAGGAAGCAGTCGCTGGGGCTCAGCAGATACGAAATGTGTAAGAGAATGAACAGAGGAGTAAAAGGCAAACCCCATCTCTGAAGTCTGATGAGTCTACTGGGATTTCTAGCTAGAAAAATGTTCAGGGGGATGAGATAAGGAATATCTCAAGTTTTGGTAAATAAATGCAAACCAGTGAAAATATCAATAAAATATTTTTAATGCCTACAATTTCTTATATACATAAATTGCAAAACTTTCACCTGTATATGCAAAAGTAGGTTCTTCTGCAGGTCAACAGCACCAGTAAACAAGCTAAGCTATGTAAAAGTTTTTTTAACTTGATTTGTCCATTTGTAAAAAGACATGATAGATTTAGTAACTCCAAAGAAATCTGTATTTCATCCTTAATCATACACTAAATACCTGAATATTTATTTCATCACATCTACTCACAAAATAGTAGTCTAATACATTCAGCACACTGAAAATAAAACAACCAGACTCTCTTCATATATTCTCTTTCCAAACATGTTTTGGTCTTCTGCTATATTCAGAAAGGTACCAATAGCTGCTTTTAAGTTACAAACTGCAAAACAATATTTCTTGGAGAAAATCTTGGGGGCTACATTAAAAAATGAATTCTGAGTTCCCATAAACTTTTTTATGTTGTTAATAGTCTTTGAACCTTCTCACGCCACATATGTACGGCTGCCTATGACGTACCCTGGCCTCCAAATGGACATAACTGCATTTATAATTTAGAGAAAATACAAAGACAAGTTATGAAAGTAGCCTTAAAAGAAAGTGCCCTTGCTTTGACATAGCAACATCAAAAGCAAGTGGGACTGTGCAATCAGAGCCATACGAGTTTTATGAAAACTCCTTTCACATCATTTGTGTTAGAGAATGCTGCACCCATGATCATGTAACATTACTACAATCGTGAAATAACATTTCTACATTCATAATTTAACACTACCCAATAAAAGGCACATCTTCAAATACTGACTAAAGAAAATCTGAAATCAAAACAGTGGAAGATACATTAAAAATCAAGCACTTAATTTGTAAACCTTAGTAACAGCTATTCCAGTTTCTTCAAAGGCTTGTGAACTTTTTTAAGAGTGGTCAGAAAGTGCAGAACAACATGGAAGACAGGATTTGGAAACAAGGCCAAGATTAATTTAAATGGCTTGCTCAGGACTTTGCTGTTTTTTAGTTATGGACGTGTCCTTTTATGATGTTGATACAGGGGGAATATTAAGATCAACATCTGTGTTATACAAGAAGTGCATTCAGAAGTTATGGACATAAAGGACACAACCTTCCTATCAAGTTCTGTAACTTTAATATAGCACAGTGGTGCCTTTCTATACAAATCAGCTGCACAATATTATTGATTAAAGTGCTAGTAAATTTTAAGCCACCACAAATCTTTCAGCTATGACAATCACATGATTGTAATTATAGATTCCAAAGTCTGAATATTAAAAAATATATACAAGAAAAAAAACTTTTGAAGGGGGAAATAAAGCACATAAATGACAGCAAAGGAAATAATGTTCCAAACCTCTTACTTTATTACATGGAACATCATATTACATTTAAATCAATTTCATTTAAGGTATTTAAGATGGGTGACAAGCAGCCACTATGATTTTCTGCCACCAGTGTAACAGTTACGTGTGGAATTAGAAAGGGTGATTCTCGTGATGACACTTCACAGGAGTCAGCTTCAAACTTCAAAATTAAATCCTTGTACTTTCAAAATCTGAACTCAATTCACAATTAGAATCTGAAAGGACTGGCTTACGTGGTCCCATGAAAGAAGGCTAACAATGGTAATTTATAATACCCAAACTTGAAAAATAAAGGCTTCGTGGGTAAAAAGGTATACAGACAGTCCCCGGGTTACAAACAAGATCAGTTCCCAACTGTGTTTAAGGAAGTCAGATTTGTAGGTAAGTTGGAACAGGTGCACATGGTTCTTATTTAGCCTTACTTTTTGGAGCCCTGGTGGCGTAGTGGTTAAGTATTCAGCTGCTAACCAAAAGGCAGTTCGAATCCACCAATGCTCCTTGGAAACCCTATGGGGCAGTTCTGCTTTGTCCTATAGGGTCACTATGAGTTGGAATCAACTCGATGGCAACAGGTTTTGTTATGTTTTTTGGTTTAGTGCAAGAAAAGGCTCAAAACTTCAATGATTTAAAAGCTGCACATGCAGCAAGTGAAGGTGATTGTGATGAAGAATTTATACGAGTAGGGTGTTCGTTCAGTAGTTTCAGAGTGAGGCCAAACTGACATTAACATTCAAGGGCAAGTATGAGTTGTCCAACTTTTGTAAGTTGGACGTTCGTAACCCAGGAGCTGCCAGTACACAAAAAGAAGTTTTGGACCTGTTGAAAACTAAGGATTCTTCGTAGGACAACCCCTTCTACCTCCTAATTCCCACGTTCCAATGGCTTAACATAGCCACAAAGTTTATTATAGAACTATTCTACAAACTTAGTCAAGGACAAATACCCTCTAGCATCATATTATCTCATTTTCTTTTGCTAACTTTCCATGAGACGAGGTCAGGCTGATTGGAATTGCTTAGACTTGAGACTCAAGAGATACCAAGCCTATAAACATGACTCAAAGAAGAGTGAGAATGAAGAAAGTTCCACAGTAATGAGGAACATTCTTTAAAATCCTTTTCTACCCAGGAAAATCTCTTCACAGTGCATAGTTTGAAATAAAAGTGCAATATGGGCAAAAAGAGAAGGTGGTGCTCTTGATTCACACGAATTTAGTTTTTGGTTTTTTGCCATTACTATTTGCTAAGGAATTTAAGATAAAAATGAGAAGTCATTAACATCAAGAGGTATAAGGGCACCTTGGGATTCCAAAATATCTTTATGATGGGGTAGAAAGGGGTAGGCAAGACGGGCATCTCATATGTAGCTTATTTTTTAAACTATTACTCTTCCAAATCTAATGTTTGAATATAATGTTTTCTTCAATACAAAAATGGATTTTTTTTAGAGAAAAATCAATCAGCATGGTGACCTTGTCTATCTTACACAGCCAACACAGTAACAGTAAATCTGAAAGGAAAACTTGGAAAAGAATATTCTTATACTAAATAGTATAACTTGTATTTTAACTGGGAAAAATTGTTAATTGCTTTATCACCTATATTAGTGATTAAGAATGTTCCACATCAAATCCATGAATAATGCAGAATATAATTTATTCTTTTACTTCAAAGTCACAGGGATGACGTCCATATGATAATTATAAAGCCTACTCTACATTTTCAAGTTCTCAATCCAAACGTATAGATCAGGACAGGTCACTATTGCTGGCAACATTCATAGAAGGGCCAGGTTCCTCATAAAAAAACAGTAAGTTTAATTGGGAGCTGGGCAGTGCCCTACTCATATCAGAAGAATTACACAAGTCAAGCGGCAATCCCTTTTAAAGTAGCAAAGGAACAACAGAAGATTGGCTGACTTGTGAGCAGCCCCACGTTAGAGT